GTTCTGGAACGGGTCGTTCTGAACCGTTCTAGAAGCAGAACGACCCATTCTGGTTTCAGAACGGCCCGTTTTACTGCATTCATGTTATGTTAAATTGGCATTTGGAACGACCTGTTCTAGTTGCAAAATTAACACATCAAGGTGCATCCAGAACGGGTCGTTCTGGTTCTAGGTGTATTCATGCAATTTGGCGTCCACGTACACATCCACGTGGCATCCACGTGACCAACAATTAACCCCATTTAAATCATTTGGACGAAAGTCCCAAATTGCAATGATTTTAATTATTAAGGACAAAATTGAAACAAAAAATTAAAGTGAGACTAAATTGAAACAAAAAAATTTATAAGAGACGAAAAGAGGTATTTAACCTAAAATATTTGTATCAATCTATCAGAGTGCACTGATTGCTTATTTAAGCATCATCATTTATCCCATCAGACATTTTTATTTGTTTATATACGGTGTAAAATTTAGCCGTAATACAATATTCAGGCTATTAAAATTCATTGTTAAATTTTCTACCTAATGTTTATTTAATTAAGCTATTTTTATTATTTTAAATAAAATCTAATTTATAAAAATTAGTTATTTTTAAAATTTTATTTTGTATTATTGAAAAACAATTTTGCAAGAAAAATACAAATAAATCTTTTTATTTTTATAACTTAATTATTTTATAAATAAGATAATTGTAACTTAATAAATGAATTATTATTGAGAAGTAAATATGTGGAATTATTAGTGGGATCTATTCAGTAATTTAATCAAAGGTGTTGTATTAGAAAGAATAGGTATTTATGAGGTGTTTAAGTTAAAAAAATTGATGTGTATATATAGAAACTATTCAAAACTCCAAACAAAGGTGCTGAATTGCCGATGTTTTTATTGGGGTATTTACTTCCAACAACGATTTTTCATCTGTTTCTCTGACAACGACTTGTTGGTAATTAAACTTTTAGTTTGTTGAAACTAATAAAACTCATGCACAGTGTGGTAAAATTTAAATTTTGTATCCTTTCTTTCCTAAAATGGACGTTAATTTTTACAAAAAATAAAGGTAAACGTACGAGTTTCTTTCAACCTGCATTGCTATGGCTATTGGCTAAGTAGTTGAAGGATGCATCTCTTTTCACATTTTCACTCTCTTTGCATTAAATTGAACTTGTCAGACACAGTTACATGCCTTAAAGATGGATCATTGTGGACACTGTACGTAGTGTATCCTGTTTTCAAGATTTTTTCACTGCTCTATGCAACACTTCTAGCTACTAGACCTAGCTAGACGCGCGGCTAGACCTACAGCTGTATATGTATTTTTATACACACTAAGCCTGTGCTTGCTTTCACGTTTAACGTGAAAGCTATAACGTGTAGCTTCACGTTAAACGTGATTTTTCACGTTTCAAACGTGATAGCAAACACGCACTAATAGCGTGTTTATATCACGTTTAGGCTGAAGTAGAAAATAGTTACTTCTCTGTAAATTTAGAATTGGACATGAAAAGAGAAGGAAAACTTGAGTTTAATAATCCAAACCAAACACGCACTAAGTGCGTGTTTGTATTGGATTCTAAACTTAGATTTTCACGTTTGAGTAAAAGGAACAAATAATAGTTTCAGTGTAAATTCATTGTTGGACGTGGAGAGAGAAAAAAAAATTGCTTTCCAAAATGAAATCCAAACACACGCTAAAATAAAATGCATGATAACTTGATTGATCCTGTACGTGATGAAAGAATAAAGAGATTTACATGTTAAAAACTTCATATGATTTTTATATTCTGTTGTATAATAGGTCTACATTTTCAAGTAAATAAAAAAACTCGTGAATTTTTTACTTAATTCCTCTAAAATGAAAAATTAAATAAAAAATCAGTATGCAGAGAAATCTGAAGATAAATAAAATGTCTCGTACAATAAAACAAATAAGCAACATACAATCAATCAATATAATAAATAAACATTTGATAAAAAAAAAAAAAACTCGTTGAGAAAGAAATAAAAGGTTTAATCCTAAATTCTAAAGCAACAAAAACTTAAGTAAATTGTTTTTCTTGAATGAAGATTATTTGTTTTATGACATTAAAGCTAACATTTCTATAAAAATATGAAAATTAGAACAAATGTAGAATTTGAGATAAAGTTGTTTAAGTGAGGTCAATTATGTGGGTTAATTTAACTCACTTTTAACTTGACCATCTGAATTAAATTTGTGGTGAATGGAGCTGTTTATCTAGGCTTTTTGATGAAACATGATTCCTATGGTACCGACAATGCTTGGATTTGTCGGCGCTGTTGGGGGTGTGCCCTGGGTATCGGACCATAATTCTCCTTGTGTCCGGAGAGATTCCAAAGGTGGTCAGCAGGTCCAAGTATCCCCGTGTGTGTACTCGTTCTCCTGCAAAACCAACTAGGGGCTCTGTGTGACGTTGGATGAGAGAGTGGGGGATGTCTAACTTGAGGAAGGTTGGCCAATATAGAACGTCGGCCGAACTCCTTAGTCAATAAGCGTCTTCTGAACTTCCCAGTTGGCTATTTCTACGGCGATGACCATGGGGTCATCTTGATTGGGGCTGACACCAGCGTAGTCCTCGTCGGAGAAAGAGATCGGAGGTGAGCTCTGATGCGATGCCAAGGTAGCAGAGTGGACACTGTTGATATTGCCCATGTGTCTCTTCTGGGCCGAGCTGGTGGCACCTCCCCCTGCAAATCCGCCTGCAATTGTATTGATAACTCCCCGTAGGGGAGCTGATCCTGTCTCTTGGCCTACCTCGGCTTGCACTGCTCCGCCGACATTCTGTTGAGAACCAAAGGGTTGGTCCGTGCGAGCCCCTGAACCACGGCCTCGGCCCTGTCCTCGTCCGCCATAGCCTCCTCGGTGACCCTGCTATCGCTGGACATATTGGCCGAGGTGGCCTGCTTGGATGAGTTCTTCAATACGGTCCCGAAGTGAGCGACACTCCTCGGTGGTGTGACCATGATTCCTATGGTACCGACAATGCTTGGATTTGTCGGCGCTGTTGGGGGTGTGCCCTGGCGGTGGGAGGGTGAGCAAATTTTTGTTACTGGCCTCCTCCAGGATATGTACCCTGGGCGTGTTCAGGGGAGTATAGAAGTCATATCTCCCCCCTCTGTTCGCCTTAGTCGACTTCTTGAACTGACTGTCATTATTGACTTTGACCTTGTCCTTGTGGCCACCGTCGGGTTTTACCTGATTTCCCGCGAACCTGGTCACGGAAAGCAGAATGTTCCTCCATCTGAATGTACCCAGCGGCACGGGCACGGAGGTCGTCCATATCGCGAGGTGCTTCACGACATAGGCTGTCGATGAACGGTCCGGGTTTGAGTGCCATGAGCATGGCGTGCAGGGCGACCTCGGGGTTTAGATTCCTGATCTTTATCGAGGTGTTGGTGAATCGCTCCATGAACACCCGAATTGGCTCGTCGTTGTTCTGTCTGAGACTGGCTAGGGCGGCAGAGGTGATGTGGTGAGGTCGGCTCGTTGCATATTGTGCCATGAACCGACTGACCAGGGTGCCGAAGCTGTCAATGGACTCGGCTGGCAGCTAGGTGTACCAGTTGAGCGCGACCCCTTTGAGCGAGGTTGGGAAAACCCTACACAGAATAGCATCATTGTTAGTGTAGAGGTTTACCTGCGTCGTATATAGGTCGATGTGCTCGTCTGGGTCCGTCGTGCCATCGTAGCAATCGAGGTCTAGGTGTACCAGTTGAGCGCGGCCCCTTTGAGCGAGGTTGGGAAAACCCTACACAGAATAGCATCATTGTTAGTGTAGAGGTTTACCTGCGTCGTATATAGGTCGATGTGCTCGTCTGGGTCCGTCGTGCCATCTTACGTAAAAAACTTTCAAAATGACCCCACTATGGTCAAAAAGCCGTTTATCTAACATACACTTTTCATTAGTTTATTTCATCAATAATTCTTGACCATTTATTATTATATATGTATTATTTAACAAAATATATTTTTTATACAAAAATAAAATTAATGTTAAATAATATAAAATTATTAAATATTTATCTATTTAAACTTTCAATAAAATTTAATATTAATGAGAAATTATTCTAATGATAATTTTTTTATTATTTAAAATTATACATTTTTTTATTAAGTTTAATATTATATGCATATGTTTAATTTGATAATTTTTATTTTAGGTTAAAAGATATTTTAGATTAAATTTTATTTTAAATTAAAAGAAATTATAACAAAAAGTAGTTGAATTAATAGACTATCTCATTTAATTCAGTAACTCGATCAAGTTAAACTAAAAAAAATTGGACATTAATATAACTGAAACAAACCCAACACTGACTTATAAAGAGAGTTAAAGTGCAATTAGCGCCAATATGAGAAAAGCAGAAGAAGTTCCGTGCGCAACATGCCTTGTGTTACGTGTCAACGGTGCAGTTCAGCTTAATTTAATGACAGAGACCCTTCTCTAACATTACTACACCCTACACAACACAAATTATATTATTATATTCAGCCTCCAGTAATAACTAATAACCCTCCCATTTCACTTCTTTCATCCCTTTTGTGATTGACTCCAGTATCTCAAAATAATAGATTTGACTTTTGTTCTGGGTGGTATTAACTTAGTTTTGTGTCTTATATATTTTTTTTAAAAGATTATATATTAATGATAATTTTTATTCAACAAATAATATTTTATAAAATACAATATTATTTATTTTAAAAAATATTTTAATTTAAGTTATATATTTCTTTTATTTTATAATTTAATAATATTTGATGATAATTTTAATATATAAACTTTATATTATTATTTAATTACAAATGATCATTTACATGAAATTATTACGTATTATTCATTATAAAATCAATAAATCGTTAAGTACAGTGATTTAAATGAAATGTAAAACGATTCCATACTCTCTTATACTATCATATTAAGATGTCAAATTGATTCGATCTCATCTAATACATACAGGAAAATTTGGATATTGGAAGGAGACAAGGATAAAGCTGATAGCACATAATTCCTTCACCGAGGATATCGCGTGTTCACAAATAGCAAGAACAAAGAGATAACGTGATTAACTCTTAAAAATATTAAGAATTGAATCCTCCAAAATAAAACTGAGAATATTGTTAAGAAAGAAATTGCACATGATATAAATCTGGAGCGGAGAATGAAAAAATATAGGATGATGAAGATTCATCATGTGTTAGCAAATAACAGTAATAATAATATTAGTGTTGGTAAGAGCGAAGAACGGCTCCGCAGAAAGTGCAAACAATGGCTCTCCAGGATTTCCAGTAGAAGGGGACATAGCAAAACCTGGTGGCGGTCTTCATGTCGGCGACGCTGGCTCCGCCGCCGCAGCGGGAGCAAATCCCGGCGGCCGGCTTGCTCCGCTGCATCTGCCGGCGTTGGTCGACCAGAAAACAGAAGCAGACCATCTGGCGTTCAAATGTAAAGCTAAAGCAGTGGTTAGTGGTTGGTTGATGTTCAGTGCTCTTATTATAATACCTCTCATTTTTGGCGGATGCTTAAATCTCCAACTTCTTCCACATCTGTAACCGTTCCCTCCTCCATACTTGCTCGATGTTTAGTCAGGTAATAAATGAAAAAGCTGCACTGCTTGCTGTTTGTTTCGTATATTGGTGGCAGTTGGTAAGTAAGCGTAAGTACTCCTCCATTTTTTGGTTCTCATAAAAAATTTTGTTTTATTTTTTCTAAAATTTAGAGTTATTATTTTTAGTTATTAATATTATATAATTTTTTTTTAAGGGAACAAAACTAATTCATTTCTTTCATAATAAGAGAAGTAATACATGGTGGAATAAAATCAAAAGTGTGGGGACTAGCGTATGATCTTGCTGTCTTTGCTAGGGAATGAGCAACATGATTTGCTTGTCTCCTAATAAACCTAACCGAGAGGTTTTTATGAGAGGCTAAGATAGATCGTCCTTTTTGGATCAGAAGACCATATTCAGATAAGAGTTGATTAGATCCATGTAGGTCATCAACCACTGTTTTACAGTCAAGTTCAATTTGGACGTTCTCATAAGAAGAGTTTGTGAGCCAAGACATAACCTCAATACAAGCTATAGCTTCTGCTTCATGTGGAGGTGAGAGTCCATGATACCATAAGATTGAGTTGATAGAGGTAAGTATTACATAAAATATGTCGTTAAATATCATTTAAAATCAACACTAAAATTGTGTGTAACTATATGTCAAATATATATATATATTATATTTATAGTAATACTTTTTATATGTTATTATATGTAACATTTCTTGTAGTATTTTGTTTAATCCAAATTGAATCAATCCGATGTTGGTTCAGTTTAGGTTATTGGATATCTAATAATTTTTTTAAAAAATAAATAAATAATATTTTTTAAAAGTAAATAAAATTTTCAACATTGACCAAATTGATATATTGTAAAAAAATTAGTTAAAATTGATAAATTTATAACATAATTCTTCTTGGTTTGTTTTCTTAATTTATTTAAGGATTTCAAATGTACTATACTATATAAAAATGACACTCAATATATTGTAATATAGTTATTCTCAATTTCTTTAAGTATTATAAAAAAGAATGAAAAAATCTACATATTATAATATAGAAAACCTTCAAAATGATACATATATATTAATTATTAACCAAATAAAAATATATAAAATAATTGGATTGATTTGTGTCAATTCACGTTTTAAATGTGTAAATTTGATACTCAAACTAATTAACATTGGATTTAATTGGTTTGTTTTAGGTTTGATTCAAATAAAAAAAACAACCAATTTAATTAATTAAATCCGATGAATACCCCCTTACTTTTTAGGCATTATTCACACATATTAGTAATATCATGTTAGTGGATAACACTTCTAATATTTTTTTTTAGGTTATCAAAATATTTTAGAGAAAATAAGTATATTGTTTATACATCTTAAAATCATTATTAGAAACTAAAAATAACAATTTTAAATTTTAAAAGAATAAAAGTTAAAGAAAAAAAAACTACATAAATTACAACTAAAATTTATTCATTTTAAAAAGACAAATATATTTTACAAAAGCTAAAAATAATATTTATAATTTTTTTAAAGAATAAAAAATTAAAAACTACAAGAATTAAATCAAAAATCAGCTAATTTTATTAAAAACATATTCAAATATATTTTTTTATCAAATAACTTAAAAAATTCAACTGACTTTTTATTTGTTTTCCGTTTCTTTCTAATCTATCATACCATAAACTAAAATTCAATAAATTTTTTAAAGAAATATATTTGTTTATTATAACTTTTAACTATATGCAAGAATAAATATTCATTATGTGCATCGTATAAATTAAACCACTGGTTTGTTATTTGACTATTGATTAGTTATATTTTATTCTGAATACTCATTAGCAAACCCTTTTTTGTTAATTATTTTGATTTTTATTTGTTGATCATTTTATTTAAGTGACAAATTTTTCTTTGATTAGAGTATTTTATTCACTTATCGGCATCATTGGTACTGTTTGGGAGATTACCTTTTTCAATATCTATAAAAGAAAGAAAGAAAAAAAAGTTACTTTACGTATAACCATATACTTCAATCGTTTGTCGGAGTATGAGTAGCCAAACTTTGTAGTTAGTTGCATGGCTATTCATTTCTATTAAAGGCTATAATTATGCAACAATTAAACACGTATTTTTTTAAAAATTTAATTTATTTAATGTAATCGAATGTGATTTTCAAAAACAGTTTTATTAGTTCTTATGAGAAAGATTAAATATTTTTTATTTGAATAAAAAAAAAAAGAGAGGAAGGAGTATAGATTTTTGTTTTTGGTATAGGGCGAAGAATCTTATTATGAACATAATCGTGACCCGAGATTATCTTGAATGAAAGGAGATGATTATCTAAAATTCTTTAGGAATTGACTATCTCTTGATAATATTATTGGTAAAATTTGTTTGAGATTAAAAGTTTACCTCTGAAATTTGATTAAATCTAAAGTTGAGTAACACTGAAATTTTGCAGTGGCCAAATTGCGAGAAAATAAAATGGAAAAATTGGAAGTTGCAATGGACGCGCCGATGGAAGCAATGTTGAGGACCAGCTGGAATCTCGTGCATTTCCTTTCCAATTAAGTTTTGCTATTTTAGTAGAAACTAGTTAGTTAATGCACCGGTTGCATTCTTTTTCATCACTCTTTTATATAATTATTTGTTAAAAGATAAAAAAATATAAGAAATCTAATTATGTTTTTAAAATTAAAAATGGTAGAAAATAAAATAAAATGTCAAAATAATATTTATATATTTAATTAATTTTTTTTATCTCATAATATACCATTTTATAAATTTATAAAAAAAAATTAAATGCAATGTAATGAAACTATTTTCAGCTAATTTTTTTTTATCATGCTTTCATTTAATATTATCTCATTTAAAATTGGATAATAGTAATATATCTTTATTGTTGGGATGCAAACAAGAGGATGAATATGAGTTTATATACACACACTTGTCTCCATTGATTAAAAGGCCTTTTAGGTGATGTCCAAAAGTAAAACCGTGAGAGCTTAGTCCCAAAACGGACAATATCCCACCAATGTGGGGACATGTGTGTATGTGTGATAACCCTTCTTCGGTGCTCAACATTTATGTAATATCTTTTTATCATGCTTTCATCTAATATTATCTCATTTAAAATTGGATAGTAATATTTTATATTTAAGTTGACAATATTTTTTTATTTAAATATTTAATGCAATTGTATCGAAAAATTGATTCACTAATTTTGTGGCGCCAAATTTATTGTAACTTTAATTTGTTTTTAAGTTAGCAGATAAATCTAATATTATTAGATTTTTCCGCTTATCATAAAAAAATAATAATAATTGTTCTCCGGAAATCTACTGTAGAGATGATCTGCAGAGTAAGATTGGTGAGTCTCCTTCGCTGGTACGTTGGTGTTCCAAGATGGGGGTGGTACCTGCAAAAGAGACTCCGATGCTAAAGTTAGGGTTTGTGTGAATATGAGTCTCGTATAAATAATGCACGTACCTTAGTGTGAGTTAGGGTTGCGTTGGGCCTTGGGCCTAAGATAAGATATGATATGATTAGATAACGGATCTCATTTGGAGCGAGATCCCCTAAGATCGGTTATGATCTATTTAAGTGCCGATCTGACGTCACGCGACGCGTGTCCGAGATCGTCTTATGTTGTGATGCCGAGCTGGGAGCTCGGCTCTGGAGTGTGGATAGTACACTAGCCCCCCGAGCTCCGAAGACCGTGGGTCGAGGAGTTAAGATTGAGCTCGTCAAGTGGCTATGACCCCTCGTGTACGCTTGCTTGTTGAGATGCCGCGTGTCATAACTGGTCATTCCCGAGGACGCGCGCGTGGCGCGCTAATGGGAGTGACGGATATGTAATGATGGTCTGCCTTTACCATAATGGTTTTTCATTAATGTGGCGTCAGACTTGCCTCTTGGCCAACACGTGGCATGACCGTTTCGAATTTGGGAAGAGCCCTTTTTTCTCCCTCGCGCCTCTTCCATTTTCACTTTACTCATCTTTCACTCTTTCGACTTCTCGCACGCATTGTTTCTCCGGTGCTTCTGCTCATTCTCCGTCCTCATTTTTTGGTCGTCATTTTCAGTAACCCCGTCATTATTAGGGTTGTTTTCTAAGGAAGAGTATCAGGTACTTTCTTTCTGCAGTTTTCTTTTTCTTTCTTCCCGACTCTTCTTCGGGTCTTTCTTGTCGTCTTTATGGCTGGAGGGAGTGGTGCTGGTTCCTCCGTGCCTGCCAAGGGCAAGGCACGGGGTAAGGCAGCGGCTGCCGGAATGGCTCCGCCGCCAGGAAAAAGAAGGTGGAGGAGCCGCCTACGGATCTCGTTCCAAGCATTCCTGGGTACGACTGGGTTCGACGCGAGATGGCGGAGGCCCAAAGCGTTTTCTGGTCCTTTCTTGAAGTCAATGCGGTTTTGAGATCACTCAGAATCTGTGACCCTTCTGTGTCCCGAATGATCCGTCTTGAACCATGTCAGGCCGGAGAGGGCGTGTATATGGGGAAGTCCACTGACTCTCCCCATTTCAATATGTACCATTGTTTTTTTAGGGATTTAGTTGTCTGTCTTCCTTTCACCCAATTTGAGTGTGATTTTTTGAACTTTGTCAACTCGGCTCCTTGCCAGTTGCACCCCAATAGTTGGGGTTTTTTGAGGGCTTTTCAAGTCCTCTGTTCAGTGCTAGGGGTAGAGGTGTCCCTTCCCGTCTTTCTTCATTTTTATCAGTTGAAGATAAGCGTTCCGCCCTACGGTATACTGTCCCTGAGTGGGAGTAGGGATGGGGGTTTGTTTACCCTCTATGCCCACTCATACAAGAATTTCAAGTAAGAGTTTTTCCGGGTTGCTCTTGTGGGTGTCGACCCATTGGAGGATGGGGCGTTTTACTTTGGCGGGCTGTCGAAGTTCCCTTTCTATTGGTGCCCCAAACCGTCTAGGTTTCATGGGGTGGGCCAATTAAAACTGACGGCTTCGGAGGCGGCCACCGTCGAGAATCTCGCAGTGCTTCCTCGTCCGCCGAATTGCAAGCTCGTTCTGTCACTTGCGAAC